TTTCTCTCTCTCTCTCCTTCTCTCTCTCCATCTCCATCTCTCTCTTTTTCTCTCTCTCCATCTTTCTCTGTCTCTCCATCTCCATCTCTCTCTCTCCATCTTTCTCTCTCTCTCTCTCTCCATCTCTCTCTCCCCCTCCCTCCCCCCATCTCTCCAATAGCATGTCTTGTTTTTATTTGCAAAGAAATCATTTACCTACTTGTCAAGAAAACTCCATTTTTCCCCCAATGAGCCCTTATAACAGAATAACAGAATTGGAAAGGACCTTGGAGTTCTTCTCTCCAGCCTCCTGCTCAAGCAAATAATTGGACAACGTTTGTCTCTTCTTAAAAACCTTGATCTGTGCTTACTCAACACACTGGAATGGGCCTGCTGCATTTTGATTTATGCACTTGTGAGAACTTGGCCCATTGGGACCGGTTCCGTAGACTGTAATTTTACAAACCATGGGTTAACATGAGTTGGGGGGTTGTCTCATTTCTCTACAGGAGAACCCTCTCGAGTGCAGGCCTTGGAGTTGAGTTGCGGCTCTGGAACTGGACAAGTGACCCTCAACCCCAGTGAGATGTTGGAGCTGAGCTGCAGTCTGTTTCCTGAGGTCAGCCCTTTGAGGTAGGTCCGGTCAAGAAAAAGACACTGTCAGGATTCCAGGAATTCTGCCTTATTGTTTTAGGGCAGTGTTTCTCAACCTTGGCAAACCTTAAGACCTGTGGACTTCAACTTCCAGAATTTCCCATGCATGGCTGGAGAATTCTGGCAGTTGAAGTTCCCAGGTCTTTTTTTTTTAAAGTGTTTCTATTAATAATACAAAATTAAAAAACATTGGACATAGATATGATATCACTGGTTCCAAACATTTTCTGTCACGTTACAATAATATTAGTACTCGTATAAATATATAGTTCTTTAGCTTTGTTCATTATTTAAAGATAATATGATATTAATACTTTTTCCCTTATTTCTGTATATTTATTCATCTCTTAAACATATATTTATCTATAATAACGTCTATATTTTTGTTCTAACACTATACATTTGTCTTTGTCAATCACCTCCAAAGTGTGGCTTTACTCCAGAGTCGACCCTGCTTTCTGAGTTGTTCTTGTCTTCTGGCAGCTTTGCACATGCGCGCACTGGGAACAGGCTCCAGTTGTTCCTCTGCCTCGCTGCTGTCTACCTCCCTCTCTGCCTCCAATGCAGAGCCCTTGTCTGAGCTTTCTCCAGCTTTCAGGACTGGCCCAAGTTTCTCCCCAACCTCCTCACTGTCTGACCGGCAGGTCACAACACCAACATTGAGAAACATCAATGTAGGGTAATCATAACAGAATCTTGAAAGCTTGCTAGAGTTGGTCTCTGCTCCACCTTATACCAAACAAAATCAAGGCAGGGTTGAGTTGAGCTTCTTTCTTGCACATTCTTGGTTCTCAGCACCGAGTAATCTTTTCTCTTCCCTTGTCGCTTCCTTGCTCCCTTTCTTCTTCCTAAGGCTAGGTCTCCGTTCCTTTCCATCCGGTGAGCAGTTTTCCAATATTATGTGGAAGAAGAACGGGCATCCGCTGAGAGAAGCAGACAACCTCCGTGTCCTCCCCAACGGTTCTTTGTTGATCGAAGCAGCTGTGAAACACGACAACCACTCAGGAGGCTCCAGCGTGGAAGGAAATTATTCTTGTACCACTCAGGGCCCGTTTGGGTCCGTCACTGGCCAAACTCTGATGCTCCGAGAATCTTGTGAGTAACTGTCCTCTGCAATTTGTTACAAGAGCCTTTCAAGCGAGCAGCCGAATCAGATGAGGAGGAGGTGTGGGAGTCAGGGTCAGCATCAAGGCAACCTGAGAGCTCCGAGGGGGAAGAGGGAATGGAGCTGTCAGAGAGAGAGAGAGAGAGAGGCAGAGCCTGGGCCGTCCATTAGCTCTCAGATGGGGAGTCAACAACCCCCAAATCTGGAGGTGGCTGATGAGGAAGAGGTGGAACAGCTGGGTCCAGTGCCTGACGCGCAGACACAGAAGGCAGAGGAGAGGAGAGTAGTGGAAATCTATGGGCTGATCCTTGGGACTGAAGAGCCACCGCTGCTAGCGAAATCTATGGGCTGATCCTTGGGACGGAAGAGCCACCGCCCTAGCTCTGGGGATAAAAGGCAGGGGGGCAGAGATGAATAGGTGTGGCAGACAATTATTAATCTCCCTGCCAGACAGACTTGTTAGCCTGTGGTGAGAGAGAAACTTTTTGCTGGGACTGCCGGCGCTCCTAATAAAGGAATCTTTTGAGTTAACTTCAGAGGGTTTGTTGTATTTGGTCAGAACAAATCTGTTTATCAGATAAACAGATCTCTGTTTATTTAGTGATCAAAATTCGGGCGCTTGACAACTGGTGTGTATTTATGACAGTTTGCAGTGTCCCAGTGGTCATGTGATCACTATTTGTGACCTTCTCAGCCGGCATCCGACAAGCAAAGTCAATGGGGAAAGCCTGATTTGCTTAATGACCACAGGATTCACTGAACGACGGCGGTCATTCGCTTAACCCCCATGGCAAAAGGTCACGGTGCACGCCTCGTTTAACAATCGCCTCATCTAGCAACAGAGGTTCTGGCCCATTGGTGGGTTGCTACCGGTTCGCCCCAGTTCGGGAAAACTGGTAGCGGCGGTGGCGGGAGGCTCTGCCCATCCACCTGGACGCTTCTGCACATGTGCAGAAGTGTTACACACATGAACGTGCGTGCACCCACGAGCGAACCAGTAGCGACAGGTTTTGAAACCTGCCCCTGTTCTGGCCTCAATTGTGGTCATAAGTCAAGGACAACCTATATAGGAAGAAACACAACCGTTTCAATAAATCCTAATCGCATTTCATTCTAATGGCCCATGCATCATTTATGTAAGCGACTTATCCATAGAGCCTATTTTATTAATCTGCGTCCATTAGCAAAACTTGTTTGACAGGTTAAATGGCCAGGCAAGGAAGCGAAACCCGTCTGAAATTTGATACTCCCTCTGCTAGCTTTAAAGGACAAAAAATAGTTTCTTGTTGTCCAAGGAAATGTACACAGTAAAGCAAATCTCCTGATTTGAGTGAAATTGGTGTTTTATTTTCACGGTCTTCATAAAAAAAAACAAAACTGTGCCCAATTTACAGGGATTGTGCCATCCAAACAAGAACCTCCTAAGGAATTCATTTTTCCCCCTCTCCTTAAAGTATTATTGTGGATTATGGATTGATTGATCAGTCAATAGACGTATCAGAATGCAAAAGATAAGACAACAGGAAAACAGCGGTGGGTTGCTACCGGTTCGCCCCGGTTCCAGCAAACCGGTAGTGCCGGCGGTGGGAGGCTCCTCCCACCCGCCCAGATGTCATCAAAAATGCTCTGCGGATGCAATAGCGAACCGGTAGCTCCGGGATTTGAAACTCACTACTGGGGAAAACCACATGCATCAAGAAGAGTAAAAGGCAGAATGAAAAGAAAATATTTTTGTATCATTCCTATAATTTATCCCAAGCAGACCCAGTTCTCAATTATTCTGTCTTATTCAGAGAAAACACAATTTTATATGTAATGTTTGATGTTTGACCATACCCAAAACAGGTTGTTTTAATAAGAATCCTTCTTCAATTCGAAGTCATCCCCAAAATTAACCCTATTTTTAAAAAATATTTTTTAATATTCATATTTTGGTGCTTTGTATTGTAATTTTCCTTGAATAAACTAAATATTCTACCAAAAAAACCACCCGCAAAGCAATTATCAATAGTAGGTCAACTCTGTCTAAAGCCAGATTGTTCTTCTGCTTGTAACTCATGCCTCCCTTTTTCTTTCTTTCTTTCTTTCTTTCTTTCTTTCTTTCTTTCTTTCTTTCTTTCTTTCTTTCTTTCTTTCTTTCTTTCTTTCTTTCTTTCTTTCCTCTTTCTCTGATCTCCTGTCAATGGTTATCCTCCCCCCCAACCTCCTACCACAGCCTTGCCTCCATTTTTCCAACATCCAGAACCCCAATCTGTGCCAGAAAACGGCATGGCTCGTTTTGAGTGTCGGATCAAAGGTTTGCCTGCTCCGGTCATCACTTGGCAGAAAGACAGTGAGGCTGTGCCTTCGGAACCAAGGTAAATTATGCAGGGCTCACTCATTGCATCAAACGCAACAGAGTTAGTTAAGTTGGAGCCGCTAAGCCTCACTGGTTGTGGCTTGCAAGCTGTGGTCTATGCCTAAGCTTGATGCCCGAAGGTAGTTGTGTCAACTGACGGGTTTATCTCTGGATTGTCAGAATGGTCCAGTGTGTCTATCTATGATCAGCTCTAAGAAACTCATAGAGGGATTAGAACACAGAACAAGGAGCCTTGGTGGCACGGTGGTTAGAATGCAGTACTGCAGGCTAATTCTGCCCACTGCCAGGAGTTTGATCCTGACTAGCTCAAAGTTCACTCAGCCTTCCATTTGTCTGAGGTTGATAAAATTAGGACCCAGATTGTTGGGGGCCATAGGCTGACTCTGTAAACCGCTTAGAGAGGGCTGTGGGACAATATATAAGGCTAAGTACTATTCAGAGATGGTATTCAGCAGGTTCTGATGAACCAGTAGAAGAAATTTTGAGTAGTTTGGAGAACCGGTAAAGATCACCTCTGACTGACCCCGCCCCCATCTATTCTCTGCCTCCCAAGTCCCAGCTGATTGGGAGGAAATGGGGATTTTGCAATATCCTTCCCCTGGAGTGGGGTGGGAATGGAGATTTTACAGTATCCTTCCCTTGCCACACCCACCAAGCCATGCCACGCCCACCAAGCCATGCCCACAGAACCGGTAATAAAAAAAATTTGAATCCCACCACTGGTGCTATTGCTATTAACATAGAATCATAGGGCTGGAAGGCATCTCAGAGGTCTTCTAATCCAACTCCCTGTTCAAGGCAGGAGACCTTCTACACATGGGGAATGGAAGTTCTAATTTAGCCTCCAGATCCTTTATGTCTTTGCTGCGCTTGCTAGGGTGTTCTTGTGTTTTGACTTGATCCAGCGTAGGAATTGATCTTTCCTCTTCATCCTTGGGCTCATAGGTTCATCGTCCTTCCACATGGTGTCCTGCAAATCACGGATGTCCAGGAAGGAGATGCTGGGGCCTACCATTGCGTGGCAACCAATGCAGTAGGAAGTCGCTACAGCCTGGATGCTCCCCTCACTCTCTTGAAAGGTACATTTTACAAATTTGGGAGCGGGGCAGGGTGGATGAATTACGGGAGGCTATATCTAAAGTTTCTCTCTTTCAGTCTCAGATGCTTCCATCTGTTGCATGGATATAACGATCCCAGCAAAAAATTTTGCAAAGGGTTTTTGAGATAACTGACTGGTCAGATATTCTAAAGCCAGAGCGAGCAGCTTATAAATGGCTGAAGTCTTCTCAATAAAGGCTGGGGACCCAAAGGATAAAAAATATTGGATGAAAATATGAATTTGGCTAGGAGAAATGGCAAAATAACGAATAGACTTAAAACCAGAATTGTTTTTGTTGGGTATCTTACCAGAAAAATACAATAAAGGAAATACATACTTGATTTGACACGTTTTAACAGCAGCAAAACCAGTAAACGTATGTACAAAATTGGAAAAATGAAGATATCCCTGCAGAGGAAAACGTAATAAAGCAAATATTAGAATGTGTCGAGATGGATAGATGAACCATGAAAATTAAGAATAAGGAGGAAACAGAATACTTTTTAACATGGGAGACATTTTACCGATGGCTAGAAAACAGAGGCAGAAGTTAGAAACTTAAAATTGAAAAGAATGTTTAATTAAATAATGTAAGGTGAATAATTAAGGATAAGCAAATATTATTATCAATATGTTTTGATGATACTTGTTATAAATAGCATTGTTAAAATTTTTGTTATCGTTATTCAAAATCGATTGTACCCAGACAACACACTGTCAATGTGAATATTGAGTTTTATGTATACCGAAGAAAAATGTATAAATAATATATATATTTTTAAAAAACAATAAGGACAGGGGACCAATTGGTGAAGCAGTGATATCACTGGGAGGCAGGTGACAATTCAGGGTTGGACTTAAAAATGAGATTAAGAGTAGGAGACCCGTTGGAGAGAAAGTGCTACCAATTGCACCATAAAATTCTCCCCAGATCCTGCAAACCAGCTCCCAAATTCCACCACCAGGATTTGGCTATAGGTAATTCTGGAACCTAAAACTGGTTGTTTAATAACTGTTCCAAGTTCCAACAGACTTAAGCTACTTGCAACTCATCCTCAAAGTTATGACTGCCGCTTTCCCGTTTCCTCACCGTCGTATGATTGTCTTTCGTGTGCTTGGCCACTGGCTCACATTTATAACCAGTTGCAGCATCCAATAATCAAGGAATCACAATTTGCAATTTGACTGGTTTCCGGTGCCGTATGCCGGTTTCCTGGGGGGGAAAAACCCCACCTATTCAGAGAAGAATGGGATTCGCTTAACAATCACATGATCCACTTTAAAACTGCAGTGACTTGTTTTATAATCATTGGAAAAACAGTCATAAAATCAAGGCTGGTTACGTGATGTTTTGGCTGATGACTGCAATGACTTAAAAATCTGGGCTCCATTATGGTTGTATGTCAAGGAATACCTGTTCGTGCCAAGAAAATGACAGGGACCCCATGTTTTTTTTTCTGTTTCCGAAAGCATTTAATTGACAACTGCAGTTTTAAACTGTCACCAAGCCCTCCGAGGGAAATGTATTTCTCACATTTTGCTCCCTCCGCTTCAGTGCAAAAGCAGACAGAATATGGATGAGAAGACACATCTGTGCACGCTGAATGCTCGGTTTGGCTGTTTTTCTTGTCTGGCTGTCTTTTTAAAGTTTGGGACCTCGGAAAGGCTTGACATCTTGACATCTCCAGCAGGTGGCTAAGCCGCTTGCTGGCTTGCCTTCTTTCCAAAGCCATCAGGGGTGGCCAAGGGCAGCTGATCATGGAATCTCTCTTCTGCAAAAGCAGCCTTCCTTGTACAAACACAGTTTAACACACAGACGCACAACTGCAGAGATTTGGCGAGGTTTTCTCCAACGTGGATTTGCAGACTGATCAGAACTTTCTTTCAGGCATGATTAGACTATTAGACGATTAATCATTATTACATGATTAGAGGCCCGGAGGCTAAAACCTATGAAGAAGAACGGTTGCAGGAATTGGGTACATCTAATCTAGTGAAAAGAAGAGCTAGGAGTGACATGATAGCAGTGTTCCAATATTTGAGGGGCTGCCAGAAAGAAGACGGGGGGGGGGGGAGGTCAACCTTTTTGCCAAATCAGCTGAAAGCAAAATAAGAAGCAATGGATGGAAACTAATCAGGGAGAGAAGCAACCTAGAACCAAGGAGACATTTCCTGACAGTGAGAACAATTAGTGGAATCATTTGCCTTCAGAGGTTCAGGGGTGTCAAACTCGCGGCCGGATGCATCATGTGCTGACCCCGACCCCGCCCGGTTTAGCGAAGGGGGAAAAAGTCCTAATACAGCTAAAACAGTGGTGGGTTGCCCCCGGTTTGCACCGGTTCTATAGTACTGGTAGTAAAACCGGCGGGAGGCTCCACCCACTGACCCTGATGTCATAAAAACGCTTCTGCGCATGCACAGAAGCTTCTGCGCTTGTGCAGAAGAGCGCTTGAGCGAAGTGAGCACGTGCGCACGGCCCCGTTGCGAACCGGTAGTAAAGGTAAGTAGAACCCATCCCTGGGCTAAAACATATGAAGAACAGTTGCAGGAACTGGGTATGTCTAGTTTGATGAAAAGAAGGAATAGGGGAGACAGGATAGCAGTCTTCCAATATCTCAGGGGCTGCCACAAAGAAGAGGGAGTCAAGCTCTTCTCCAAAGTACCACAAGGCAGGACAAGAAGCAATGGGTGGAAACTAATCAAGGAGAGAAGCAACTTAGAACTAAGGAGAAATTTCCTGACAGTGAGAACAATTAAACAGTGGAACAACTTGCCTCCAGAAGTTGTAAATGCTCCAACACTGGAAGTTTTTAAGAAGAGGTTGGACAACCATTTGTCTGAAGTGGTGTAGGGTTTCCTGCCTAAGCAGGAGGTTGGACTAGAAGACCTCCAAGGGCCCTTACAACTCTGTTATTCTAAACAATTCTAAACGTCACATGACGACGACATGACGACACGTGTTTGACACCCCGCTCCGTTAATGGAGGCTTTTAAGAAGAGGCTGGACTGCTATTTGTCTGGAATGATATGCTTGAGCAGGGGGTTGGACTAGAAGACCTCTGAGGCCTCTTCCAACTCCGTTATTCTGTTCATACAGTTCTTGGCAACAATACGCAACTTTCGTCCCACTTCTGAGTCCAACCATGTCTCCCCTCCAAGGACTAACCAACCCTGCTGAATTTTTTCCAAGTTCATAATCCTCCAGTTGAAGGATGCTCCCATCTTTTCAGTAAGTTGGACCTCATTCTGAGCAATCGCAGGAATTGTCATTAATGAATGAATGAAATGATTCATCCAACGGAATCTTCACCCTTACCCAACCTACGGCCTTGCCCTAAGCCTTAATTTATTTTTGGAAGAACTCCCCATGGCTCCAGAGAATTATTGCCTGCTGTCTAGGAAAATGTGTACTGGCCTGGAAATCCTACCCTACCACATCAAGCAGCAAGAGAAACTTCACTAATTGGAAATCAGGATTCCTAACCCAGTTTCAAAGACTTCCCCGCTGCAGTTTTAGGCTGAAATCCTCAGCAGTTACTTAAATCTTTCCTCCTGCAGCTGAATAATGATATTTTGCTTGTACGACAGTTGCAAAATCAAACTCATGTTGTTAGAATGTGGTCAGTTTATACAGAAATCGTCATTATTTAATCACATATCAGGGTAGACTCCAATGTTTTTCTTCATTTCCATCTACCCTTCATCCTTTTCCTACACCTTTCTGTCAATTTTTTTAATTTTATTTTAGAACAAACAACACAAAAATGAAAGGAAATAGGACCTCTTCTGATTCATTCTTTCTCACCATATCTCAAAGAATAAGTCAAAAGAGATTTGAGGCAAAAGCCCAATTAAAATCTTTTCCAGTTAAGCTTGCTGAGCTTTTATTGAGTTTCAAGGAGGCTGTGCAAATCTTTTCTTCTCAGTGTATTACACACAGTGGCAACGATTGATTTGGGGATTTCAGCCATTGTTAGACCGAAACAAAGTGGGAAAAAATTAGTATAATACGCAGAACACAGAACAAAGAATAACAGAGTTGGAAGAGAACTTGGAGGTTTTCTAGTCCAACTCCCTTCTCAGGTAGGAGACCCTATACCATTCCAGATAAGCGGCTGTCCAGTCTCTTCTTAAAAACCAGTGGTGGAACAGACACAACTTCTGGAATTAATTGTGATTAATTCCACTGATTAATTGTTTTACAACCTCTTCAGTCGAAGAGGTTGTAAAAAAAATGCTTTTAAAAGGCTCTGATGATCCCAGCTCAGCCACCCGATCATCGGAAGCTTTTTTTTTACTTTTAAAAGCATTTTTTCGGCCAAAGAAAAAATGCTTTTAAAAGTAAAAAAAAAAAAAAGCCTCTGATGACTGCGCAGCTCAGCTGGGCGGCAGGGGAGCAGGGATTTTTGCTACCAGTTCTCCCAACAACCTGCCACCATCGCTATTGTATCGGGCGATCCAGTCTGAACTGGGAGTATTTCACCCCTGCCGCAAATATTGGAAGACTTCTATCATGTCACTCCAATCCTTCTTTTCACTAGATTAAAAGGTAAAAGTAAAGGTTCCCCTCGCACATAGGTGCTACTCGTTCCCGACTCTAGGGGGCAGTGCTCATCTCAGGTTCAAAGCCGAAGAGCCAGCGCTGTCCAAAGACTCAACGCCAAAGGCGCACGGAACGCTGTTCCCTTCCCACCAAAAGTGGTCCCTATTTTTCTACTTGCATTTTTTACGTGTTTTCGAACTGCTAGGTTGGCAGAAGTTGAGACACGTGATGGGAGCTCACTCCGTTACGTGGCACTAGGGATTCGAACCGCTGAACTGCCGACCTTTCGACTGACAAGCTCAGTGTCTTAGCCACTGAGCTATCGCGTTTCCTTTCACTAGATCAGGCATACCCAATTCTTACAACCGTTCTTTGTGTGCTTTAAAAAAAAAAAAGGTCTTTGTTTTGCTTCTATGGATGGGTGGCATGGATGCTTT